TCAGCACACTTTTGGAAAAACAGCAATTGAATGAATGATAGTGAATGTGTTTTCTCCTTTGGGTCCCCCTGCCAAGGTGGGGGATGGCTGTTGAGGTTAAAAAATAATGATCACTAATTCCAAGAGTAAAGTTAATTTTATAATTTTTTTTATAAAACGTTGAAAAAAGTTGCATACTGTACTTAATATTATTGTACCTACATAATCTGTCTTTTACAGGAGGATAGCTACATGACCAAATTTCTTAATTACAACTTAAGAAGCATATATGCTTTCCAACTGGCCCCACCTCCACCTAGTGTTGAAGATGAAGTTCCTGAAGTCTCTCCAGAGTTGTTAACAGAGGAGGTAAGAGAAAGTAAAATTTTGAGATCTAGGGATGAATTTTATAAACTTAGATTTCATTGTTTATCTGTAATGTTATTAGCAGTACTCTAATGTTCCTTCTGTAAATCCTCTGACGATAGTTACTAGATTATTATAGGCACCACACCCAGGCTTCCCAGTGGATCAGGGCCTGATCAACCAGGCTGTTACTGCTGGCTGCATGTAGTCCAACATACTAACCACAGCCCGGTTTATCTGGCACCAACTTAAGTATCTGTTCATCTCCCTCTTTAACCCTTAAACTGTCCAAACGTAGATCTACGTTCAATCGCGTAGCACTCTGAACATAGATGTACATTTTATTTTACATGCTTATGTAAAAAAAAAAAGTAGATCTACGTTTGGACGGTTTAAGGGTTAAGGCAGCAAGGGATCTATTGATAATTTCCCTTATGCCTGGTGGGAGGCTGTTGAACAGTCTTGGGCACTGGACCACTTATTGTGTTTTCCCTTAATATACCAATGGCACCCCTACTTTTCATTGGGGGTATTTTGCACCGCCTGCCCAGTCTTTTGCTTTCATAGGGAGTGATTACTGTGTAGATTAGGAACCATTCCTTCTAGGATTTTCCAGTTGTAGATTATGATCTCTATCGTCTGCGCTCCAGTGAGTACAAGTCAAGTGCTTCCAAGCGTTCCCAGCAGTGAAGGTGTTTGATGGAACTTATATATGCAGTAAAGGTTCTCTGTACATTCTCTAGATCTACAATTTCATCTGCTTTGAATGGAGATGTTAATGTACAGCAGTATTCCAGACTTGAGAGAACAAGTGATTCAAAGAGGATTATTGGCTTGGCATCTCTTGATTTGAGTACAGTAGGGCCCCGCTTTATGGCGTTTTGCTTTACGGCGTTCTGCTAATTCGATCATTTCAAATTATGACCTAAGCTACACGGTTCCCCCACCTGACTTTAATACAATCACTGTACCCTACCCACTTTGTTTACATTCTCTGTGAGCTCCATAAGCACTCTCTCTCCATTATGTCTGGAAACTCCAAAATTTCAAGTGTTTTTAAAAGTTATTTCATATTTTATGTATACATACTCTGATAATTATACTTATGTATACCTGTACCTAAATAAACTTACACATTGTGCTTGTGTGCAGGTACACATTTATTTATTTATTTATTTTTTATTTGGACATGATACATATTTGTACAAAGAAATTTAGTGATTGGGTGTACATGCCAAAAGCCCCTTGTATGCAGAGCATTATGGGCAGGCTTAAAATTAACTTAAGATTAACTAAGTACAGTGGACCCCCGGCTTAGGATATTATTCCATTCCAGAAGTATGTTCAGGTGCCATTACTGAACGAATTTGTTCCCATAAGGAACATTGTGAATTAGATTAGTCCATTTCAGACCCCAAACATACACGTACAAATGCACTTACATAAATACACTTACATAATTGGTCGCATTGGGAGCTGATCGTAAAGCGGGGGTCCACTGTAATTATATATTCAGTGGTAAAAATTACAGTAAACAAATTTCAACATGAAGTACAAATAAGCATTTCAAATAAGAAGCATTAAAATTGTACAAATTTGTAGCATAACAGTGTATAATATCCGATTAAATCGAGTAAAATCAATGACTTGTAGTGCAGAAACAGGTCATATGGTCATTAGATGAGTTACTGAGCATTCAAGAGAATGGAGTATTCTATTAGGTAATGTTAATTAAAAAAAAAAACAGTTTGATAGGGCCACAGGTTATACATTTATGAGATAGTTTTTTCAGTATTTATTTAGTTGTGGGTGAGTAAGTGGCTTTTAAGAAGAGCCTTGAATTGATAAACAGTGTTTTTTTTTTTATATTCACAGGTAATGAATTCCAGATTTTTTCAAAGATTTTTGAGAGAGGGTGTAAGTTGGATATTGGCCTATAGTTATTCAAGTCTGCTTGATCTCCTTTATGTATCGGGGTGACCCTCGCTATTTTGAGAACATTAGGGAAGGTAGAGGATTCGATAGATTTGTTAACCCTTTCAGGGTTTTGCCCGTACTAGTACGGCTTACGCACCAGGGTTTTTGACGTGCTAGTACTCCTAAATTCTAGCGCCCTCAAATCTAGTGAGAGAGAAAGCTGGTACGCCTACATATAAAAGAATGCATTTATGTGATCAGTGTTCGTGGTATAAAAAAACCTGTAGGACACAGTGCGTAATAAGAAAAAAAAACCTTTGACCGTGTTTTTGGATTAAAACAGCGACTTTGCACTGTATTTTCGTATGGTATTTATTGTTGTATTCTAGTTTTCCTGGTCTCATTTTATAGAATGTAAGACATATTACAGAAATTAAGATGATTTTGACTGGTTTTACAAAGAAAACTACCTTGAAATTGCGCTCAAAATAGCAGAAATGTTTGATTTTTACCAAAGTTCAAAAGTAAACAATTCTTTGCTGTGTGTCCAATACACGTCAACTGGTGAGTCTAATATTCTTTCACAAGTGCACTGATAATATTTATACCATTTCTACACCAATGCAGTAGTCTGCATAACAGTAAACCTTCTATTTTTTTGTGAGAATAAAAATTCAAAGTGGAAAGCAAAAGAATGTAAGAGGGGTGTGGGGACATGACTAATGAACAGAGGAAATGTTTTTAGTGCCAGGAATGTCTTTCTTGTTTATTCTGGACCCTATTCGGGAATTGGCATCTTTTGAAATTTGTGTTAAATTGGCAAAATTGCTAAATTCTGACTACTGTATTGGATAGTTGAAATCGGTAAATGGGTGGTTTCTTGTACTCATTCGATAGAAAAAATGTAGTTCTAGCGAAATAGTTGATTTTTGTCGACAAGTACACTGGAATTGGTGAAAAATACGGCTCAAAGTGGGGAAAATCACTGATGCGTAAACATCGTCGAGACCGCTAACTTCGCGAGAGCATATTTCCGTAAGTTTTCCATCAAATTTCATACTTTTGGTGTCATTATGACCGGGAAAAGATTCTCTATCTTTTCATAAGAAAAAATATTTTTTTTTTTTTTTAAATTTGGCCGACCCTGAGAACAAGTCTCTGATTGGGCCTGTCGACCCTGAAAGGGTTAAAGAGTATTGCAGTGATGGGTGACAGTACATATCTATGAAGCTTTTTTTATATAAAGGGTGGTAAGGTATTTAAATCTCTTGTTCTTTAGTGTGTTGATAATAAGGGAGACTTCTGTAAGAGTGTCTTATGTCTCGAGATGCCATATTAGTAATGACAATAATATACTCGGTAATAATCACCGAGTCTCATTAACCCGTAAACGGTTCAAACGTATATATACGTTTTTTTTCAACATTTGATAGTATGTAAAAAAAGTAGATCATCTTTTTTTTTTTTTTTTTTTTTTTTTTTTTTCTTTTTTTTGCTTTTTTTTTTTTTTGCTTTTTTTTTTTTTTGCTTTTTTTTTGCTTTTTTTTTTTTTTTGCTTTTTAAATATGTAATAAAAAATAAGTAGATCTACTTTTGGAGCACTACGCATGTGAATGTAGATCTGCTTGGACCGTTTACGGGTTAAATGTTGTATATTACATTAACACTTTGAGGGTCAGTCACGTACTAGTATGTCATTGTAGCCAGGGTCGGTCACGTACTTGTATGCCTATATTCTAGTGCCTTCAAATCTGGTGGAAGAAAGCTGGCAGGCTTACATATGAAAGAATGGGTCTGTGTGGTCAGCGTGCGAAGTATAAAAAAATCCTGAAGCACGCTGTGCAAAATGAGAAAAAAAACTTCGACTGTGTTTTTTTGGTTTAAAACAGCGGACTTTAGTGAATTTTTGTATGGTATTTATGGTTGTATTCTCGTTTCCTTGGCCTCATTTGATAGAATGGAAGATATATTATAGAATTAGAGATGATTTTGATTGGTTTCACGATGACAAGTACCTTGAAAGTGAGCTCAAAGTAGTAAAAATTATCGATTTTTGCCGATATTCAAGAGTAGACAAATCAAGCCACGCGTCCAATACACGTCAACTGGTGAATCTAATATTCTTTCATAAGTGTGCTATTGTCATTTATACCATTTTTACAATGATGCAATAGTATACATAACAGAAAACTTCTATTTTTCTGTGAGAATAAAAATTCAAAATGGAAAGCAAAAGTAATGCAAGAAGGGCCTAGAGACGTGACTATTTTGAAATTGGCATCTTTTGAAATTTGTGTGAAATTGTTCAAATTGCCAATTCCTGACCAGTTTATTGGGTAGTTGAAATCAGTAAATGGGCAGATTCATGTACTCAATCGATAGAAACAAATGGAGTTCTAGGGAAGTAGCTTTGATTCTAGTCAACTGCAACATAGAAATTGGCTGAAAATAGGGCCCAAAGTGAGCAAAATCGCCAACTTTGAGACCGCTAACTTCACGAGAGCATAATTCCATAAGTTTTTCATCAAATTTCATACTTTTGGTGTTATGATCAGAAAAAGATTCTCTATCATTTCATAAGTTTTTTTTTTTTTTTTTTTTTTTTTTTTTTTTTTTTTTTTTTTTTTTTTTTTTTTTTCCTGACAATGAGCTTGGGAGAGGGCCTCTCAACCTTGAAAGGGTTAATATACACATTTTCATTAATCCAGCTATGATATTTTTTCAGAATTATAATAAACACGATACGTAACATATAAAGATGATAAATACACCCCACAGTAGAATAAATAAATATAAATATGAGGTGTGGTAGCCAGACAACTTGTAAGAGTGATGGCAAGAATAACATTTTCTCTAGTCCAACATAAGAGAAAATGTGTTACTGGGGGTAACTGTAGAAAATTATTTCTTTCATATGTAAGTAAGTTTATTCATGTATACACAAATACAGTTACATAGATTATCATACATAACAGCATGTGTGTAAAGTATCTAGGGTAACCCAAAAAGTCAGACAGAGTATGCCTTCACTCAGAGCGTCGTTTCTTCT